TCACGAAAAAGATGAAAGTGCTGTTTCCAATCAACTGCAACAACAACCACTGGTGCGCTGTGCTAATGAATTTGGAGAAGGGCAGAGTGTACGTCTACGACTCGATGGCGTCCTCCTACATGATCGGTGTCCGTGCCGTGGCACAGAAGATGATCATGATGCTGCCAGACGGAGTCAGACCTAGTGCTCGCTTGGTGACTCACGACCCTGGACTTGGCGTTCAGTGCGACAGCTATAATTGCGGTGTGTATGTGGTGCTGGTATTTGAGATGTTCTGTGGGTCAGAGCCGCTCGGCCACCTCGACAAAAAGACTCTGCAATGCATGCGCTACCGCTACTTGCGCATGTGTATAGAAGAACAAGGAAGTAGCAGTAGCTAAGTCACTGAACTCGTTGCATCGAACTATGTTTGTCGAGTTATATGCTTGATAATGTATTTAGTAATTGAAGGGGATAACCTGCTCAGCAGAACGCTTCTATCTCTGCGGACTCTGGTACTGTCACTGAACTCGTTGCATCGAACTATGTTTGTCGAGTTATATGCTTGACAATGTCTTATGTAATTGAAGGGGATAACCTGCTCAGCAGAATGCTTTTATCTCTGCGGACTCTGGTACTGCCGATGTCGATCCACTCCGGCCATTTGGCATCTTTCGGATATACGTGTATAGTGTATAAGTTTTTGGCCGGCTCTTTCGATTTGGGTGCTGTAGTGGGCTGTCTGACGGTCACAACTGGGTACGGGTGGGTGCTGGTTTGGTGTCGTAATTCTGTCTTGTCCCGTCCCATGTGCACGAGGTAAGTGCAGCAACGAGTGCCTAATAATAATGGCAACTTTTGCGGATATACAACCATGAAAACTACAATAACAGCGACAAAAATGGATTTGCTGATGATGACAGCATGATACTACTGTAAACACACTACCGCCCGCGGTGGAGATGCCCTATAAACAAGGCCCCAGCAAGGAGAGCAAGCAGCCCTCTACGCGAATCAACGGATTACAGCTCAGGCTCAGTCTTGAATGCCTATCCAGTATGGATGGGGAAGGCCCCTCGGAGGCAAACCCCAGCCACCCTCAGCACCATGGCTGCACCAACAGGAGATGGCGCTGCTAGAAAAGGAGACTTTACCAGGAATCTAATAGCTAACTTAGTTAAATAGGCTTCTTCTCTCTCTCTCCCTATTTGAAGTTTGAATAATTTCATTTGCTTTTATTTTACTTGCTTTTTTTTTTAATAAAATAGCAACAAGGGGTTGCGCTCGCTAACACCTTGCTTACGAACGTCGTATAAGACGACATATTATTTTTGTTACGTCGTATATTACGACATTGCACGAAGGTCATTAGCAAATGGCTCGGAAAAGTTTTTTCAATACTTTAATCAAGTTACCACAAAAATATAATCTGCGAGAGGTCATTTTGCTACAAGTCAAAACCAGGCCAGGGGAAGGGGATCAGCCACGTCGCGAACAGCCACTCATTCGACATTTTGCTGGATGGTGCGCATACGGAATAGTCGACGCGAGAAACCCGCCGTGCCGGCTGCCGCTACACACGATATTGACTTTGGCCACTTATGGCGGCAGCTTCGGGCGGCGGGGTGGAAGTCCAAGCGTCCGAGTGGCCTCCAGACTGAGTGGAGCTACTCGAGTCCTGACAACACGCACGTCTTCGTGGGGGAGAAATCAGTCGTGGACTACGCGTTCGACAGTGGCTTGCTGGAAGAGGCGGATGCTGATGCTCAAGTCCGAGATGAAGGAGGTGGGGAACTAGACCAAGCAGGAGCTGATAGTAGTGGTGAAGAGCAACAACACGAGGGGGAAGACGTCGTTCGGCCTTCCCAGATCGACACGAGTGTCCTTCTTTCGCAGCATACCATTGATCGAATGTTCGGCACCCCAAGTGATGATGACATCAAGCTGTCGCAGACTGCAGTGAGCAGAGCATTCAATCTATCCCCAGGAGATCTACAAGACGGCGGTGCCCGCGAGGCCGCTGCTGGACTGCATTTACTTTCGGAGGCTTCTGGATTAGAGAACGAGGGTGATGTAGACGAAGAAGAAGCCGCTGCGTCTCAACCTCGACGACGGACACTTACGCCGTTATCAGGCAAAGAGGACGTGAATGTTTTGCTGGATGAGGAGAAGCCGAGTGACTACGAGAACTACAGCTCGGGTGATAGCGACGACGACGGCATGAGTGATTTTAACAGCGATTCCGGAGCCGGGATGTTCGAGGAAGATGACGACGTCCTGTCCGACAGTGACGCAATTGAAATGGACAAGGCTTTCATTGCGGCACTACAGGTGGGCAATAACGCACTTAGCAGAACCGCTGCAACGGAGAGAGAGCAGACACTACGAGGAATGCAGTGGACGCCAGTGTCTTCGGAGTACGAGACAGATGCTGCTGCGTACCCTGGACTGGGCACCGAAGAAGCAAGGCCTGTGCCCGACCTGCTGCAATTATGGAGATCGCCAATCCTCACCTTCTTTTATTTCATGCCGAAGTCTCTGTGGGTTTCTATCGCGGCTGAAACGAACCGATATGGTCTACAGCAAGCTGGCAAGCGCGCCCGTAACATTCAGGCACGGCAGACTGACCTTCGGCGTGAAACTATCAAGCAGATTACACGTCGTTTGAAGGCTAAGGCAGCATACTCTACACACGAGATTCTTCACGTTGTTGGACTCCTCGTTGCACGGATGCTCTGCCCTCAAAAGAAACGATTTGGTGCGCACTGGAGTATGGCGGAAGACGGTGCTGTTCCCGCCGGTCTTTTCGGGCGGTTCATGACGCGTGACAGGTGCCAGAGTATCATGCGAGACTTGCACTTCGTAGACAACACGATTGACCACGGTAACGATAAACTCTGGAAACTTCGCCCCGTTGTTGACAAGGTCCAAGAGCGCTTTTTGCTGGGGTGGTCTCTTTTTGCTATTTTTTCGTTTGATGAGGGTATACTGCCGTCCACGTCGAAGCGGAACACGACCCGGATGTTCATGGCCGACAAGTCTCACCGCTACGGGTCCAAACTATTTATGGTCTGTGACGCGCAGACGGCATACTGCCACAGGTACGTTTAAAATGTGTATGTCGTAACTATCTACTTTGTGTTTGCCTGACAACAGTGAATGTCGTAAATATCTAGGTTCGAAGTTTATGTGGGTAAGCGTGCATCTGCTGGTGGACCTGACACCTCAGTTGACTTTAAGACTGGAGCTGCAGCCGTGGTACGGAATTTGAAGATTGTTCTCGCCCAGTCTCGTCACAAGTGGCATACCGTCGTGATCGATCGCTACTACTCGTCCGTGCTCCTTGCGATTGAGCTCCTGAGTATGAAGGTGTATGTTATTGGCACGATCATGACTAACCGGCTTGGATTCAACCCGAATCTCAGGGCTACGAGCAAGACACGCCCAGTGAGCATACCCCACGGTACATTCTCGTTCTCTCGCTCTATCGCCATCCCGACCATGATTTCCTGTGTTTGGTGGGACCGGAAGCCCGTCTATTATCTCTGTACGGGCTCCATTATGGCGGCGTCGACAATTGAGCGAAAAATAAAACGTATCGGTGCGGTTCGAGTGCCGTGCCCCTCTGCTGTTAATGACTACCAGAACTGGATGATCGTAGTTGATGTCCACGATCAACTCCGTCTCCAGTCGTATTCACTGCAAATGTCGACGAGGTTCACGAAATATTATAAGAGCCTATTCTTAGGTTTGCTGGACATGGTCATGGTAAATGCGTATCTTACGCACAAAGAGGGGGCCAAGATCAAGGGGATGGCTGCTATGAAGCGCTCAGAGTGGTTTTGCGTCCTTCAAAATGAACTTCTCCAACTCAAAGCCGAAGATTTTGCTGGAGTGGAGGCAACACCGCCTCCTGCGAGCCAAAAGCGCCAGCGAACCCCAGTACGCCTCACGCACGCGCTGCAGCAGTCTGAAGATTGGGTAACCGTTACTGAGGTCCAGAAACGCCGGCAGAGATCGTGCAAGGTCTGCGCGCTCTTGCGTACTGAAAAGAAGAAGTCCTTCGCAACAACGTTCTTTTGCGAGCGCTGCTCCGTTGATAATGCAAAATGCTGGTTGTGCAACCGTATTCGACGGGAATACAAGGGCGTTGCGAAGACATGCAATGATATCTGGCATGATGACTTCGACGCCGGGCAAGCTATCCCACCAAACTTAGGGAAGCGCATTGTGCTCCGTCGGCCCGGCCAGAAAGCTGGCCAAAGAAAGAAGACGCGACGGGAACTTCGACTTGGGCACGATGCTGGCAGCGACGACGGCAACGGTGGTGACAACGAGAATGATAGTGATGACGAGTGAGCTTGGTTGCGTGTCAGTTGATTAGTGATTTGTTTCAAATACACAGCTTCTTGAACCATCGTACCTTCGTCCTTGCGTTTCTTGATTTAAGTGGACTGCCTGTGAAGCAATTTAGCCATCTGTTGACTGCACTTGCAGTCAGTTACGACATTGAGCAGGCAATACTGTCGCTGAATCCCGTCAGAGTTACGACATTGAAAGAAAAACCTGTTGAAAATTAATGCACCTAACCTCACGTCAAAAAGTGCACCCATACAAATACGTAGTAACATTGATATACCGTATCTTACGACATGCGCTTACGCGTTCTGGGCAAGTACCGTCCGGACGCAAGGTGTTAAAGGACAAACAGATTTAAAACGTATTATTGCTATTGGATTAGCTATTATGATTGTTTTCCTTAAGTCTAACACAAGCCTAAAAATGCGTAGATATACATCCACAAGCAAAGAAAATACAGATTTGTCAAAGTGGACATTACTAGCACCGGTAAAAGTATTTATGGACGCCATTGATCCTTTACAAAACCTACACTACCTAACAGAGGTCTCCTAAGTACACGTAGATTTACACGGGAGAGTTTCTGCAAGTTATAAACAAATCCGGATACAACTTATCACTTACCTGAACTATCAACCTCTGTACTCCACAAGAGTTCTTACTCAATAGCACAGGTTGTACTGGTCCAGATACTCGCCTTCAACGAGGTTTCCCTCGGGGTTGATGCGAGCATGATGGAATACCAACGAAACATCCTCCAAGTTGTCCAGCACCTGTAGCAACGGTGTCACCATGTCTCCTTGGGTGATTAAGCTCACGATGCAATGGGTAGAGGTATCACAGTAGAATAGCACCGATCCGTGCACGACGATGCGTTGACCCACCAGTCTGGCAGCAATACGAGAAAGCTTGCTCTCCTTGTCCTGGTCACCGCGATGACACGCCAGACCGGGGAATAAGTTCTTCAGTGTGTTTCTGGTGATAGTTAAACTCGTCGTAGTGGTGGCAACGAGTGAGTTTTCCGTGACGTGGCCCAGTCGATCAAGGCGAAGATATACGTCTCGGAAGTGCTTTGTGAAGACAGCCCAGTTCTTCGCCAGCGCCTCCACCCCGCGCACCGTTCCAGCATCCAAATCTTGCGACATCGTGGCTTTCAGGAAGCCCATCGCGATAATACGCGGGCCCCTTTCGTCGGGTAGTCAGCATCGAAAGACCCGAAAGTACTCCGCCGCGACGGACCAAACGATATCGCTCGTTGTGAACCCGTTTGTAAGAATTTTGTGTCTCCGACCTAGTTCGTCCACCTCCCGTTGTAGCTCGATAGTGCGGGTCTCTAGACCGTTAAGCAATCGACGCTGTTTTTCTCTGTAGCGCTCTCGAATCGTCCGACGATGTTATCGATGCAATGCCTCAATGCTGGCTCTCAGGTCGTCAGCGCATACAGGCTTTGCAGGTTGTTCAGATGGCGGCAGGACAGAACGGGAGTGTCTGCTCTTGGTTATGGGCTTTCCTCGCTTAGCAGTTGATGCACGCAGAGATTTTTGCGTAGCAACATCATCGTCTTGACTAGGGGAGAAAATTCGCGGCCTTGAAACGTTGACAAGGTGCCTGTCTGGTCGCGAATGCAGCAGGACGCTTCCAATGACTTCTGCGCTGAGCGTGTGCAGGTTGGGCGGCTGGAGGTTGCTGAGCTGCATGGCGAGTCGGACGGAAATTGCGAACTGACTTAATGGAGGCAATGAAGCGGGGTTTATTATAGCTGATTTCCAATCGTAATCATCTTGGCTGGGACACATGTTGGTCAACGTGAGTGTGGAGGAGACGAGAGAAAAACTACAAAAGTGAATATTTAAACTGTAAGTTGAGTTTACGCACTTATCAGTGGTGCACTGCCACTTATAAAACAGGAGTCATCACCAACTTTTTATTTTCCTCGTGTAACTGTCAACTTGATATTCTAGCACTATAAAAGGGAGCTAGGCACCAATCGAGCGGAGCAAAAAACTAAGGCCATGCATCCAGCATTACGACGAGAACGGTTCTGAAAGAGCTCATTCGACTTATAATACTTATCTTATTGAAGTGGCTCTCTACATGTACGTACTGCTTGTAGTCCTTAAAAAACGAAAAAGATTAGGCCAGTCAAAATAGCAAACCATGAAGCAATAACAAAGATACACAAACAAATAGCGTAAGATCCAGCAAGGTTCTAATTAGCCTCTATCACTCGTTCTACGCATTACTTTTCAAGCCGCCGGCCTATACCTCGAGAACGTGCTGGATAATAAGGACGACGCTCTACAGAAACAGAAGATCAATGCCTGGATGGCCATGGACACGTTATTCGTCTACCTGTACGTACGACCTGGTGCAGCACCGCGTCATGTTCCAGGTGATCGCCTTCCGCTCCTTTGCCATATCTTTTCGCTGGTTTTCGTGTCTGGTTCCAGTCCGATCCAAAGCACGTGGGTCGTGTGTCAGTTCGGCGTCATGATCGTGATCGCCTTCCCACAAACTTTCTGGCCACCTGGAACGTGTACCGCAGTCAGTGGTTCTGGCTCGGTATGCCTCTCCTCGATGAGTTCCCCAACAGTATCGCCGACTTCATTGCCACTCTGTTCGTCGTAAGAGTGTGTGACAAGAGAAACCGGACGGGATCAAGTAGGCCGGAGGACTGTAGCCCGTCCCCCATCATCGTGACGGTATTGAAAAGTAGTCCGAAGATTGACGCGGTTTCCTCGGACGGCAACAAGAAGAAAAACACCGTTCCTTGGTACACTTGCATGAGAACCAGCAGCGAGATCGTCAGTCAGAGCACGACGCCAGTCCAGAAGCCCGTGAAGTCCACCATGGGGTAGAACACAACCGTGAAGAGCAAGCCACTGCAGAAGCAGTAGGGAATCTCAGCCACGGTCGAGCCCACAAAGTACCACAGCGCATTGTACGTCTGTGACGCGCGTTCCCGGTAGTACTACGCTCGCTCGGAGCAGGCAAGCCGCAGAGTACTCTGGAACGCCATCATCGCTTAAAAGAGAGCACCCATGTAGACCACTCCAACACCCGAGTTGAGACCCGTGTACGACGCGTAGTCAGCATCGATAAACACGAGACCGATGACCAGTGCGAGGAGCACAGCGAGGATCATGCGCATGAGGTTGTAGCTCGGAGTTCGCCAGTACATCTGGATGAATCGGGTCACGACAAACTTCATCTGCGTCGCCGAGTTGTCTGCACGTTTGTCGGCGAAGATCATCTCTGGTAGGTCCGAGGAGGGCGTGGTGATGCCTTCCTTGGCGAGGTTGTTGTGCAGAGCCTTACTCAGTGCACTGCCGTTGAAGTAGTTCACGAAGTCGTCTGGTTACCCGCCGCGCTGTTCACACCGGCGTTAATACATTCCAGCATCCACGTCGCGGGATTGTAGCCAAGAGGGAGGGAAGACACCCCCGTGATACCGTCGAAGTACTCGATCAAGTTACAGCAATCGCGGCCCAAGTCTCCGTAGAACACCGTCTCGCCTCCACGCTTCAGCAGCAGCAGACTATCGAACAAGTATACACTTCGGCTGACAGCTGGTGGATCGTGCAAATGATGGTACGTCCCGAGTCCGCCACCTTGCGAACACCGTCCATAATGAGCTTCGCCGATCGAGCGTCCAGTCCACTGGTAGGCTCGTCCAGGAAGATGATACTCAGCTGAGCAGCGAGCTCCACGCCGATAGTCAAGCACTTCATCTGCTCGACTGAGCTGCCGCGGATGATCTGGTCCGCGATGTCCTCCAAACCCAAGAGCTCAATATACTCGTTGACCGAGTCGTACTTCTTGTCGTCCGAGATCGAGGCATCCTGGCGGAGGAGGGAGCTGAACGTCAACGCCTCGCGGATCGTAGCAGCCTTCGAGCGCACGTCCATCTGCACAGTAGCCCGTGCACCGACGGATGGCGAGGTCGTTCGCTTCGTAGCCGTTCAACAGGATTCTGCCGGTGATCTTCCCGCCAGTCTTACGTCCTGCGATCACGTCCATTAGCGTCGTCTTGCCTGCACCCGACGAGCCCATGAGAGCCGTGATGGACCTGGGCACAGCAAACCCGTTGATCTTCTTTAGCAGCTCGAGAGATTCCTTGGGGTTGTGGGGATCCAGCACGAAGTAGTGAAGGTCTTGTAAAGCCATGGTCACTGGCACGAAGTTCTTCTCCTGAGCGGTCGACTGAAAGCCCACAACGCAGTCCTCCGTCGCCGCTGATATGTTGTTCTTGGGCGTCTCCATCCTCGTGTAGGTTTCGTCCTTGATGGGCTTCTCGGACACGTCGAAATTTTCGGGGGTCTCGTAGCGGAGGAATTCAAGTGCAAGACCCGACAAGATCATGAACACCACGTAGATAGCAGCCATGTAAATAATACCGTAAGTGACCCAGGATTTCTCCGTGTCCAGACCAAACAAGTCCAAGTAGTACCCCAGTGGACCGAGTTCGGTTGGCAAAGTGTTCACAAACATAGTTCAATTAAAAGAGCTCAGGAGTTTCAAATTCGCATGAGATAGTTGTCATTCTCCTACTTTTAGTGGGCGTGCCCTGCAAATAGTGGAACTCCTCTATTTTTGAGCTAGTGAGACTTGTATGTTTTAAAGTGCCAATTAAGATTATTTTTGTGCTGTGTTCTATCTTTTAGTGCTGCATCCCAAAACTTTAGTAGATAGGACGGCCCTCGTGAGTGTGATGACCAGAGACTCGGTGTCTATCAGAGGTTGAGCGATATTCCTCGGACTTGTGTAACACCACCCAGTAATTGAGCTCGATGAACAATTATATCAATACTTGATAACGCTAGTTTTAACCTCGGCTGGATCAATTAGCCACCAAAACTAATAATTTCCGCACACTGAGCGGCTACATGAAGAAACAAAAACAGAAAATAAATATATTAGGTAAATGTTTGACTTTCTACAAGTAAACGATGAAAATGATGCAGGAAAATCAAAATGATGGTCGTAGACTCGTCCGAAGCAAGACCTATCTGGTTACGGACGGGTGAATTGAGACGCCTGTCGTCAAGGGTACTGACCAGGTATTCCGATAATAACATTGCAATAATATTTTCACAGTCCTTAGAAATAAGAAATTGTTCTTCTGAGATCAACATCAAAAATATATAATTGCTGCCAAAATAAGCCTTTCATTTAAAAAGGTTTTATGGTTAAAAACACGGAAAAAGTAAACGAAAAACAAAATGGGAAAGACCATGTGAAAATAAGCTATTGAAAGTATTTCTGGCATCTCAAAAATAAATAATTTATTGTCTAATATTATTTTGACATTCCAATACAATGGGAAATTCGGAACACCTGCTGCAGTTATAGATAAATGACGACCATGCATTTAAAAAATGTCTAGTTCTATTTTACTTCTAACGATTAGAGTCAAATTGTGACCGATTCCAGAGAGTTGCTATGCTGAGAACAAGCTAGTAATCACGGTCCGCCATCGTATTAGGCCCCTCATCCTGTATACCAGACTTGACCGCAGGTAAAACGAATTAGCCAGGCAAGTCTGGCTCTGATTTGGCCACGTGGTCAGTTTCTCCTCTAAACATTTCTAGTCTCTCATTAAACTCGCTCTTGATCTTAAAATAGCCTGCGGTCGACGTGGACGAGTAGCGACATCGCAGTCGTCAGAGCTACTCGTGTCGACGTCGCCCCATTACTACACTGATTTCAGGATCCGTCAGAATGACTCGTGACGTGGACCAGCTGGAGCTCTTCTCAGACTGTAGTCATGCAGTCAGGTTCAGCTGACTTGGCATTTATTTTTAGTCTCCAAATCTCCATGTAAATCACTAACAGAGTTAGCTATTGCTACTCGTCGCTAGTATCGGTAACTTGCATTCAACACCATTCTCCATTTCGCTCAGTCGACCTGAAGTTGCTCACTCCAATTGGTAGCACTTCTTTCGTGTGGGTAGCGACACATCTGAATCGTCTTTGGCGTTGATACTCTACCTACAAGCCCCCAGAACCACTTGTCGAACTGCTCATCGTCTCGACGTTTGTCATCGTCCAGTCTCTATCTGCCGTCCTGCTTCGCTATGGAAGAATCAGGCCAAATGCCACTCGGAGGCTGCCCGAAACCGTTCGAGCGATTTGATCAATCCAGCGATCGTATTGCGGTGGCCCTCAGACAACAAAATCCACAAGTGTATCAAGATTCCCAAGCCCAGCTGCATGCTTATCAGCAACAGCAATAGCAGCACGTGCCGGCTCATCGCCCGCCTCACGAGCTCTGGCTGGAATGCGCTTCCATGTCTACATTCAGCGGCAAGTCAACGGGATCCACCGACGTGTTTTTTTCGAGCGAAAATATTTGAAAAGGGCAAGTGTATTGACTACACAGCAATCACCAATCAGCCTTTGGTACTTGTCAATTTTAGCTGCCAAGCTGAGCGACGTAGCCGTGTGGTGGTGTCACAAGTGGAAATTGACAAGATCCGTTTTGCCACGGTCGACGACATCCGATCCCTTCGCCGAGACTTTGTACCGCCGGCTCAACAGTCTAATATGTGAGCGGAGATTAGCGGATGCTGACAGCGCGGCTCTGTTAAGAGCTAAATCCGTTTTTTCCGCTGACGCATGACACAAACCCAGCGCTGTGGAACAAGTAGATCGGTTCTGGGACGGGCTCGAATCGGAAACACGCAAGGAGGGATATATTTAAGGTGTGGCACGCAAGCAGAGGGCATAGCTGCTGCTCAAGCTATTAAGCTCACGTATTTCCAGTCTAAGCCGGGTCGCAGCCGTACAGGTCACTCTGTCCATCACTCGAGCTCCAATCGGGTGGTCTCCGACGGTCCAATACCGATGGATATCTCGATTGGGAGCATAGCTCTGTACAGAGAAGAACGGGCCAGGCCAATTTTTTTCTCTCAGAGGGGGCTTGCGCCAGAATGGGGATTAGTGTTTTCCCAAGCTGAGTTGGGGTTCTCCTCAAAACTATCGTTTCCCAGCAGGCTTTAGACTGTTTCCCAGGGGTCAAGGTTACTCGAAATACTGGATGAGATGATTAGTGGGGCTCGATAAGCCAAACGTCCCCAACTTATCAAGTTTGATGCCGGGAACATGTCAGCGGGTGTGCGGGCTCACAAAGATTTTGTCAAAATGTGTGTAAGGCACTAGGTTCGTGATGGTGACACCCACATATATACTGTCCAACCTTTGGGTTAAAGAGATGTCCTTTTAGCCGTATGCCCCAAACGCTCACAGGGCGCTTTATTGAAAGTTCTCGTTTTTGCGGATGAGGGATACTTTCCAACATGGTACCGACTTATAGTCAACAGGAAAAGCGTATGCATCGCCTTAAGAGCACTAAGGTTGGCTTCTACTTCAAGTCGAAGTCAAGAAAAACTCCCGCATGTCGCGTCGCGTGGCTGTTCGAAACTTAAAAAAAGTGTACAGAGGAGCGATAAAGACAAAGCCTTTAAGTGAATATCGCGTACCCACCAAGACAATTTGCTACAAAGGACCATTATTCGTAGGAATAGGAAAATTAGCGCAAGAATGGAGTGCGGGGGGGCGTCAAAGGCTTGAATCTAGTAGACCTCGTTGACATCACAGAAGACAGTTTGGACACTGCCTTGAAAAGTTGCACTTCGAGTGACAAAGAAAGCCTTTAAAAACGTACGAAGAGCTAACTTACGGCAAAGTGGCTACACTGATAGTCGGGGAGAAGGAAGCCGAAGTAAAATACTTAGAGCAAAGCCTCGAACGGCATAGAGGGCTTCAGATGCTATGTCGAACTCCATTCCGACGCAAGAACCGCCGCTGGTTCCCTCATCTCGCCTATCCCTGATATCGTCAATCTCAGTGTCCTTTTTGCTGTCCCTCGGTCGCAAGGATCGATAATAAGCCAAGTAAAGCATAAATATAACCTAATAGGCGTATAAGGAAGAATTGCACTTGGCGAGCTTTGACGGATGAACCCGAGCTTACCATCGGTCACTAAGCCCACCAACACACGTCCTGACCATCACCACACCCAGACATAAGCGTACTGGGCATAAATTGCCATGCACCCTATTTTGCCACATGTACCACAATGGTATATTTTAAGCGCTTCAATACGCTCTTCAACAAGAAAAATTCTTACTTTCAGACAGCAGATTTATGCATTCCTTCCACGGCTGCTTCTATACCACCTTTGCTTCTTGTACCACATAACTGATCACTTTAAAGGTGAGATTCACATCCATTTCAGCTTTGAAGCCCTCCACAACATCAACCAACCCTCAACAAACAACCCCAACGACGATGCAGCGATAACGTTCAACCACGAAGACCAGGGGATCTTGGACACATATGGATCCAATGAAGTCCCTGACCGTTGTAAGAACTGGCCCAACTCTCTTAGAGCGCAGTTTGACTGGTTTATGGTGCTCCCATTAAGACCCCTAAGAGGTACCTCAACGAAGCACAAGTTGGCGTAAATGCGGGAAGAATTGCAGCATTATCGAACCCGAAAGAGCGCGGAATCGTTGACTGGGTTGTGCACACAAGGGATTCCCAGCAACAAGGCTTCGCTTTTGAAGCATGTTGGTCGGCCTTGGTCGAGAGAATGAGCTGGGCAAAGGTGGCCCTTTGCAAAAGTGGATAGCTATATAGATTCCTAAAACACCACAACACGCGCCTTTCTATTCGCAAATCCCGAATGCTCGATAACGCCCGTGAAAACGCTGTCTCCAACAGCGAGATTAAACACTTCTTTGCCGAATATGAGGAGTTCCTAAAAGAGCATCCGATACCCCCCCCCCTCAGATATTCAACTGTGACGAGACCGTCGCTGAATTTCAAGCTCGCTCGCAAAAAGACGTTATTGCAGCTCGGGAAGCAAAACATGTGTCCGTTCGTCGAGACACGCAATCTGTATGGCTGCTGAGCTAAGAAACGTAGCAGCGAAACAAGAGCTAGAGGCATGAGGAAAGAGGAGAAGCGGTGCAAGAAAGTAGAAGCTGTGATAAAAAGGAGGAGAACGCTGTAGCCATGGCGCATGCCAGCCGGACTGACACCAGGCATACAGATGGGACATTTCGAGAAAAGGCAAAACGCCAGTGAAAGCAGACTATCAAGAGTGTCGACCAAGCACAGGCAATGATACCAGATAGAATAGAATCTACCGACATCTAACAACTTACATTTGTATGGATAAATATGTGTGGTATAGTGAATCGCTGGGAGAAAAGGATCGAGTCACGAGCCATCGCCAGAGTGCTCCAAGGATCAATCACGGTATTTTCGACCTAGCAACATCGACGGCGACGGTTCAAGTGACGACACGGCGTCACGATGGTGTGAGCCACACCATTCCGAAGCATCATCGGGTCGTAGCGATCCGAATAGTACGCACGGTAAGGTTCGGACTGATTTTACTTGATTTTGGTAAATAGAAGAAAGGATTAGAAGAGAGTAAGGGCCAAGTGGCTCAAACAACAACAGAGCAGATTTTTCCCTGGAGCACACAAGTGTTAAGCGTCGAGGTAAGTATCTTACACTAAGTGGTATGTATTATCTCGGCCACCAAACCTCGGACGAACTTTGCCCCCCCCAAAAAAATTATTTCCATTTACAAAACCTATATCGACATTCAGATATATAGGGTAAATGGGTTCTGAGTCCGAATCTGAAGTCCGTTTTTGCAATTTCGAAGCCGTTTCCCTTCATTCTGACTTTTGAAAAGCCCCATTATTTGCTGCAGAATTCTTTGCAATTGAAAGTCTGCCACGTGCAATGATTTGAGCTCCTTTATTGGCTTAATCGTGATAGTAGATAGCGATTTACAAATCAGTTGAATATATTACGAAAATCTGATCATTTATCATGATTGTAAAAAAACGGTATGCTTGTTAGAAAAACTTTTAAATGGCATTTTTGGGGGGTATATATGAGCCACCGGGTCAGTCACTAACATCGGAGTCCTCACAGATTTCATGTTCACTGTCTTCTGAATCGGATACGAATTCACACTCGTCCGCCAACTGCCGGTACTTTTGCTCGTACTCTTGAGCGTACTAATAGGCATCTGTCCAGGTAACTGAGACTAGAGATGCAAACCCAGCGTCAATCTTCAAACGAAGCTCCGCCATATCGGAAGAAGGGTCGTCCACGATGCCGCTCTTAATGCTAGCCCAAATAAGCTGAATGGGCTGTAGTTCGGGGTGGTATGGCGGAGTATAATATACCCAATGGTGATGTAGAGTAGCAAATTCTGTAGCCCCTGTCGATTGGTTTAGGCTTGTTGGCACAAACAAGCATTATCATCTCAGCTTTAGTGTAGCTGAACGTCGTGCCAAATCTCTAATTTGATAAAAAAAAAAAAAGTTACACCTTTTAAATATGTCAGCATAAAATATATAATCGCACCCTTTTCTTCAAGCCATGCTTGTATATCGCTTTTTGAGAGATCTTGAGTTGGGGGCCGAGTTTGTTTGGTTCTTGTGGTAGCTCGCGCCATCCATGTGTACGTTGTAAAGGCCGTATTTGCTGGCTAAATGTGCACACAGGTCTTCAAATTATGTCTCGAGTTGCTCTGTGTTGAAATTGCCGTGGTAGTCGTCATCGTGTTTTCGTTTTAAGTTGTATTACCACACTTCTCTTGATTCTTCAATCAGTTCTCCACCGATTCGGATTTTATCGTGACGAATAATGCCGGCTGCAACAATACAAAACGTCGCAAAAATAATAAAATATCAAAACAGCTTTTTGAATATCGAATTTTTTAATTTCATCGACTATGAAAGCTGAGCATCGTAGTTCAAGTTGCAGAATGTTATACTTCCGGACAAATTGGAAAGCTCCGCCTATTCAGATTGACCGATTTTTTCTTCAAATATTGTGTGCGAAAAGCAACATTAGCTGTCGTTTCAGCTAAAATGTTGCGAGATTTCCCTTTAATGAATCGCCGTGATTCTTCTACCAGTGGCCCCATATCGCCGAAATTGTGCTTGGCGCGAAGCCCAGACATTCACAAACATGATTGCGTACCCCTCCCTTCCACAGCTTCGGTGCAGCGACTTTTTTTAGCGAGTATGTATTCGTAGATCTTTGCCACCAAGTGTTTTTCGGCCGCGGATAATTTCTTACCTGGTGGATTTGTCGTAGTGGCAACCTCTCGGCTAGGTTAGGCTCTTGGCTATTAATAATAAGACATTGTACTTGCTTTGGAGGACAGTCGCAGCTAAGTCAGACGGTTGGTTGCTGAGATATAAATACTTAAAAATGGATTTAATACATTTCCATTTTCCGTCCGATCCTTTATGGCCGGGACAATACCAGCCAACAGCGACCTTCCTGAAGTGAGCATTCGTTTCCGGTCAGGCCAAGATACTAGTTAAGGGTTTGTGTTTTAGTTTGCTCCCTATTTGAGGGAATTTCGGGTATTTGATTACCGATACTAGTACTAGTGTTCTTAGTACTGATCGTATACCATAGCTTACAGCTTGAGTTTTACTCGGTACCCCGTAAAAGAGTCAGGGAGACTAGGTAACCTTCCGCTGTTGGTGCCACGGGGTATTGTAGAGAGAGGTAGAGGATAAACGTTCAGGTGAAGCTAGTGCCTGCTACGTGTGTGTATTTTGCCTACAAGCGCAGACAGTAAGAAAAGGAAGCGCCGGCTCAAGGCGCTGGGTCTTACTTGGCTCCTTCAGGTACGCCCCAACTTTCGCCGACCCTTCGTGGAAGATGAACTGTTGTGTGCAGAGGCTCGCTACATTTTATGGTGAATCCCTACACCACAACTGCTGGGATCGGTGTGACCTTTTATTATTGTTACGTTTTCTGGCAAATTCGAGCAAAATGTCCAAAGATGGCGAGAGAATCGAAGTCGACGGTACCAGCGACTCCGATGAAAGGTAGAGCGAGCTGGACGACGGACTGGAGCGCGGCGACGGTGTCAACGCGGATACCGACTATTGGTGAACCTTTAGTGGGTTTTGAAGACTCAGACGACGACGTTTCGCAAGCGACGGATGAAGACTTGAGCTACGGTGAAGACTGTGAGGAGTCGACATCTCTTACGGAGAGGAAGACTGAGCCTCACAAGGAGGCAGTGCTGTCAGCAGGATGCAGAGGGGTCACAAAGCTCATTTTATGTTACTGTCTAAGCTTTACTGGCTCCAGGGTAGATTTAATGAGACCCTACGTAGGAGCGGAGGTCCTACTTAGGACCCTTAATCGGAGGGCATTTTGGCAGAAAGGCACAATAGTGGCAATTTGGTGCCCAATACCCTTACACATTTTGACGAAGTTTTCATTGAATACACGAGGCGTCTTTTTAAACGACGTGAAACCATAAACAATCTTGCTAATCTCGCGCTTGATGTAGTCTATCACGTGAAAATGACAACGAATCACCCTGGCCTCCGGCAATGCTTCACTTAACACTTCAATCTCGCTGAAGTCCTTATCTACGACCACCACTTTGATGTCCGACCAAGCTGGACTATTCTGTTTGAATGACCTGAAAGCACTCTTCATGCTGAGCTTGGTCTCCCCGTCGATTAAGGCGTGCTGAGCAAGCGAGCCACTCCCAAACTTATCTGTCACCATAAAACCGAACAAGCGATATTTTCAAGTACGCAAAAATAGATAGGAGTTGGTTAATATGCAGTAAATACATGTAGGTTTGTGAAGATTTCACCAACATGTTGGTGTACATGCCACAACTCTAGTCATTAGAGCAGGTCAATAATCTCTCACCTGTTAATGTTGGTACCGTGTGTGGCATCAACACAGAGAGCCTCAGGGAACTTCCGAGTCATGCGTCTCATGTAAGCTGTTTGGAAGGTAATGTACATTGTCAGCTCCGTGAATGGGTCACGAAATAAGCTGACAGCGTTCCCGGGTCCTTCTCTAAAATCCTGTAATAACTGGGAGACACGGACGTTGTCATCAGGGGAAGTGTAGGCTTCGCATCGCATTTTAGCAATCAGATTCTCCACGTCCTTTGGCTGGACGGGTAGTCCATACGCCGCTTTCAAGTAGCGGAGGATTGTCCCGTTTAGAGTCTCCTAGAATGCACAAAACAAAACAATTTAATTATTATCGACACATTTGTACAGCAAGATCATTTGACTGCATAGCTGCAATGACGTACCTTATTTTGGCTATCATTTTGATGCCGGGAGAGTCGACCTTACGGTCCTCAGCGTACGTACGGTATTCTTTGGGACCCACGCCGTGGTTGTGAATGGGTGTGTGCTTTGTAACACTGATATTATACGAGCCGTCATCGGATCAACTAAGCAGGGTGTTTAGCCGCGCCATGTAACCAATAGATTGACACGTGTGGTTTGTTCGGCTTCCGCTCCCGCGCGGATTGAACTCCCAACCATAAGTGCAGTGAAAAGTCTTCGAGTAAAGCTGCAACTCCTCGTCGAAAAACACAGGCTTGGTTCCTTGCAGTGCTGTTCGCTTGATACGGTCTCGGTTTCTCACGCGAGCGGAGGGGCTCGTCCTTAGCTTGTATATTTGGTGAGTTTCTTCTTGATATCTTTAGTATTCAGTCACAAGTAATATACGTCAGTCAAAATTTAATAAGACACAAATAAATTCCTGTAGTATTAACATGCACCGTACCGATGAAAGGCATTTTCTAGAGTAGCCCACGACGCGAATGTGCCAGAGAAAGCAGGGCAAGTGACCCTGAAGGTAGTACGAGCGGCTATCGGTAGCTCTCCCTGCGCTCCAGAAGCTGGGCCACGGCGGGATCGTGCTCTGCAGTCCAATTGTACACCAGCAATCGTGTCTGAGACGGAATCAGAGTCAACATGTCGTCCTGGAGAGCGGCATGATAGCGTAGAGGCCATGGCGGGACACAAATGTCGACGAATAGGGAGGAGTACAGCGTGCACGGACCCGGAGAGGGGAATGCCGGCGCGGGAATGAGCGGCTGCTGGACGTTTACAATTAAAAAAACAACATAAGTGTTGCTTCTACTGGTTTTTACCGGTATGAAATTTGCTTTTTTTAGCGTGAACGTAGGCACTTCCTAAACTAAATGGGTACGACATAACTATAAACCAGCCCCAAAAAGAAAACGTTTCAAGAAATTCAATAAAATAGAATCGGCAAATGTACAGCCCATCGCCCCGACATGAGAGCAACTCGAATTTACCTGCGTTGTGTTGAAGCTCATTCTCTGATTTGGAGTAACCATATTGGCAACACAGAAATTCATCTGCTTCAGCACACTACTCAAATAGGCTCCATACTTCTTGTCGTTGCGGAAAGCACCACGCAGCCACTTGATCACGTGAAATAGACATAGCAAAATGCGCGCCTTCGGGAACATGTTTTTTAGCACCGCGATCCCATTCATATCTTTGTCGACCATGATAACCATCGTCATTTCCCTATCATTCACCTCCTGGAAATGGTCTATAAGCTTTAGCATGTGCCAATCGGCATTCCGCTCGATTACTGAATGCTGAACAGCCTGGCCGTTCCTGACTTGATCCATCACCATAAATGTGCAAAGTTGGTAGTTGTATCTACGTGAGCAGCAAAGGAATATCACCAGAAACATGGTTGTACATGGTTAAAACATGACAAGAAAACATGGTTTATAAATGGCTGAAACATGCTGTAAACATGTAGAAGGAGTGTACCTGTTCGTTTTGTGGGTACAATCAACGAGCAATAACTCTGGGGAACGCTTGTAGAGCCTGCGCATATGTTGCGTGCAGATGGACACCACGGCAGTTTGACCTCGACTGTTCACTTCAACCATGGCCACGTTAGCTTCAGCACCCAAACTGAACTCCATAAGCAGTTCTACTACTTGGTCCTGCATAAGATACGACTTGGTTACTCCTTATATTGTATACATGATCTCGATTTACTACGAACCTGACTTCTTTATACGTCCTGCATCTGCATCTTGTGCGGCGAGTTGGTACGAACGTAGTCATACAGGCGGCTGGGTTTACTCCCACTTGCAACCATGAGTTCCACATCGCGTATGATCGGCGAGCTGGTGGGTTTATCTGTCGAACCGTCGGATATCCGTCGTAAATGTCTTGCGACACAGGGTGATTGTGCCCATAAAACGCCAATTTTACTTCAACACACCACTCTCCACGTTCTTTCTCGTAAAGTTGTGCCACAAAGCGCACATGGCACTCGGTGAAGCTGACTCTGTGAACAGGCCGTTTTCCTTTTGATCGAACACGGTTCTTCCATCCATGGGTACAGATGTACACACGCTTAAATGGATCCAAGGGTTCGGGAATAAGGGGCAAGTCTGAGTCGCGTAACCCAGCAAACATCTTCATCTTCCGAATCTGGCGGTTGCGGAGTCGCACATTTAGCGTTTCGGAAACCGCCAGCACTGTCATCGTGTTCTGTTGGTACTGAAGCAGATACTCTTCGAACTTCTTCCAATTTTCATGATCTTTTTCTAGGCCTTCGACGTAGAAAAGTTCCCCACCACACTTCATTAGCGCGCGCTTACGTGATCGGGTGCTTGTCGAAGTTCCGAAGCCATCATTTCCACTAGGCGAACCCTGCTTGCTACCCGAAGAATAAACCTGTGCATATTCCTCTTCGTCCTCACAACTGCTTCCAGCGTGTTTTCCAGTCAGATGCTCATCACCAAGCCTGTCCGCCTGGGCAGCAGGAGCCACATCAGTGTCCCCATCACTGCTACTTGGCCCCTCTGTCTTCAGCTGCATGGCTAGCATAAGTGGCGCGGTTTTCTTTGTGCGTGCCATGTTCTGAATAGATAATGACCTAAGCACAGATCATACATGGCTAGCACATGTTTAAAACATGGGTGAATCATGGAGCATTTTAGCACTCATCCAGTTACGTTACACGTACGCGTCAGGAGCTCAGGAGCTACAGTAAGCCCGTGGATGAGCTACACCGCCGAACGAAATCTGCATTTTCACGATAAAGTTCAGCTTTTATACATTCTCCAGCTTGTTAAGTGCTAGCAACATCTCGCGTCAAGACATGCTGACCAGGGCTACCTGCTCGGCACGAAGAGGAGCGATGGGAGCTCGGGGCACTACGCGTGGCTCTGGACTCGTTCCGTACGGTGGTCTGCCCGATTGGGGAATCTGGAGCTGACACGTGGCAAAAGCTCGTCCGTATTGGGCGTTATACGGTATATTGCAGGGGAGAGAACGGCGCTACGCCGTCATAGAGGTACTAACCGGATGTACAGCAGGTCTGGATGTACAGCGGGTCTTTGCTTCGGTCGCTCCGAGCGGGGGGGAAATGGCGCTCCAGCGCGTGTGCCGCGTGGCAGAATGAGTGACTGGCTCGATCGGTAATTACAAACTGGGCGGGAGATATAAATTACAAACATGGCCACACATGGATACATAACAGTTTTAAACATGACTATTGAAACATAGAGCGTAACGAGCTGTGGGCATACTTCGACAAGAACGAGATGGCCTGCAAGGAGATGTGGGTCATGTGCTACCGAATGGATTTGCCACACTTCCGAAATAACACGAATAGCCGACTGGAAAACGTTTTTGGCAAGCTCAAAGTTGATTTGGATAGCGCGATGTCGATGAAACAGTGTTTGGAAGCTGTGATCCGGTACTAACACCGCAGAGAAGACGAATACGTCTCCCGAATCGTAACGCCTGGTACCACCTGAAGCATAAACTACAGCGAGGAGATGAATCAACTGCTCGGGACGACAAGTGAGTGGTTGGCTGATGTGTTTAAGACGGAGTACGCCTTTGCTATCAGCCCAGACGCTGTGAACAGTTATGTTATCGAGGACGAAGAGCTGCACATTACGTTAAAGCGAGACGGGAGGTCTCACCGCGTGGACAAGTTTGATTGGATGTGCACTTGTGAGTTCTCTTCGACCATCAAACTACCCTGTCGCCACGACATGATCTATCGCAAACACGTTGCTTCTCTTCTCACAATTCCGTACGCGTCAGTCCCGGACAGGTAAAACCCATGTTTTATCCATGTTTTGATCGTGTATTTTATCGATTTCTAATGATTTTTGTTGTATGTATTTTCCATGCAATAACTATGTTGGTTGAATTGAAAGGTGGCTTCGTGTTGATACGCTGCAAGAGGAGCTAGACGAATTCGAATCGCCACTGCGAATCTACACTGAGGTGGACGATGCTGTGCGGAAAAAGCAGATGACCCAGCGCAACAAGTACAAGAGCGTACGGAATGTCTTCAGCAGGCTCACGTCGGAGCTAACCGACCTTCCCGACGCAAAGTTTACAGCAGCAACGGACCATTTGGAGACATGGTGGGGGAATTTGCGACAGGGTGACGTCAGTGTTTCAGTCACGCAATCGGGTGTTTCGGAAAACGATCTTCCGCCAACGCAAGTAGCTGCTTCAGGTCTTAGTTTTGAACGCAAAGAAAATGACGACATGGGGAACGCTCGCGAAGTTGGTAGTGCGGATGACCAACGGACGGCTACTGCGCCTAAGCCATTCGTGCAGTCAATTACTTCGAAACAGTTTGACACTGAAAGTACTGCCAAGCCTGTCGTCAGGCCGTTTAATCCTCGCACTTCGAAATTGGGTCGCCCAAAGTAAAACAGAGCAACACAAGATGCTCTACGAAGTGCAGACCGCAAAGAGTACAACCAAGGAGCAAAGTTGAGAAACGCACTTCGCGGTGATGATGTTGTTCGGGTGGAGGAGTTTTTGAAGACTAGTAAGCCATCGCTACTGGAGTTGTCGTCGAACCTGAACACGTTTGAGACGCGTCACAACGGGCGCAAGGAAAAAAGGTTGAATTTATAAAACAAGTACCCACGGAAACTTGCGTTCCGTATCGACTGCCTGAGCAATTGGTAAAGGAGGCGTTACAGCTCATCGATCGCCTGACACCGTACGGGGATGTCATGGACGTGAGTAGACTCCCGGACCCAAGTGAGGAGTGTTGGTTAGCGGACATCGAAGGGGTTGGCAAGTTTACGCAGCGGCAACTCATGGCAATGCAATACCTGGGTGGTTGCACAAACGGACTGAAGTGCTACTCATGGTTGATGAGCAAGGTGGGCGAACTAATCAATGACGAAGTTTCAGCTTCAGTCGCAAAGCATATGATTGGGACCTGGCCTGCCAAGCGCCTTTCAGGATTTGGTGAGGGCTTTCAAATGAATTGGGCGCACTTGTATTGTGCTGGGGACGCTTGCTGGTAAAATGACAACTACATCCAAGCCTTTGCCAAAACGCTGGAGGTAAAGTACGACAACAGCTGCATGGTCTATTTACCACAATTATAGACACCGGCGCCAGACAAGGGCAAGCGCATTGGGCCGCGAACATTAGGTCTACTGACGGGCACCAACAAGGACTGGGTGTTCATGCCGTTGAATGTCAATGGAAACCATTGGATGTGTCTTGTTGTCAGCTGACCGCGGCAGACTATATACTTCTACGATAGTTTCGACAAGCGCGCTTACCACAATTTACTGGGGGAGCTGGCACAGGAACTCAACCAGAGAGTTATGAAGCAGCCGTACGAGATTGTTGCTGTCCACACCTCTGTCCAGACTGACAGCAACAGTTGCGGGTTGTTTGTCTGTCTGTACTTTTGGCGTCGGGTGTACAAGGAAGCTTGCAACGACTACTCCGAGACTGGGTTGCTGCGCCGTCGCTGGGATGTGCTACGGTATGTTATTGAGTTCAGCGACTCTTGCAAGAAGGAAGACGAGGATAACAAGTGATCAATACATGTTTCGCTCCATGTTTGCATGTTTTCAGCGTCTTGGAGGTGTAGACGTGTCATGCGAGCATTACGAAACGTAGCTTCAACCCATGACAGGTAAGAGTGCGAAGTGTAGCCGACAGATTGAAAGTGCGGTCATTCTTGATTTTTCACGCCTTGCTGTCAATATGCTTCAAAACATGGTAAGCATGTACCGAATAAATTACAGATCCTGTTCGTAATTTATTTTGAGAAAACATGGATGATACCTGGACATGTATCCATGCTGTACCATTGTTCTGATACCTAACCCTTATCAAAAACATGGGAGCCAAATAAAATCAATCCAACCTTTTTTTGGGTGGTTGGGTCACCCAAATATTCCCAAAAACATCATTGGCGTCACTGATGGAGATCCAGCTGAACGCGGAACCGGAGGACGCGCCCGACGCGCCTTCGAGCGCCTCGCACGCCGTGTCCATGTCCTCCCTCCTCTCTCACGACGTAGTGACACCTCGCGACGCGGTCAGCAGCCCGCCAGGTCTCTCAGACCTCATGAACACAGCAGACGACGTCCAAAGTCCTGTTTCCGAGACCCACCCGGTCAAACTTCCCAGTCTTGAGACCCCCGAGCTCCAGACGTTGCAGACACAGCTCCACGCAGCACTCGAAAAGCTCTGGAGCGAGACTGGGCCCGTCTCTAAGCGTCAGAAGAAGAGCAAACAGAGTCGTCGAGCCAAAGCTGCGGCCGACCATAGCGCCGACGTTTACAATTCCCTGGACCAGCTACAACGGATAATAAACACACAATTCGCTCGACGTAGCGTCCTTGAGGAGGTGGTGAAGTTCTCGCTGAGCTTCTGTGAGCTGCTGGACGAGAAAGAGTCCGTGCAGGGGCTCGTGGTACTGGGCCATGAGAAGAAGACGGTGGATCTGGACGAGACGCTGGCCAAACTACCGAGTAAACCGCTGTACGCCCAGCTGGTGGGCGCTATCAGACGTGCCGTGCTCAGTGCTGGGGATTTAATAGGCAGGGAACTGCTAACTCAGGTGCTGGACTGGAGTCTTACGAGATCTACACCTCAGTACTGGACGTGGGTGATGGCGTCTATTGCTCAGATGAATTCGTACTTTGTACAGGAATTTTTATTGCGCGAAGCTATTGCCCGACACGAAGATATGACGGAATTTATCTCGGTGTTGGAGTTCTTGGCGACGAAGTACCCGGCTCAGACGACGGATATTCTGCGAGACGTGCTGGAAAGATGCGTTTCTAGCGACCGAGGAGGAGCTTTGGAGACTGTGCAGCGTCTTGTGGCGATAGCAAGTGACTCCGCTGTGCTTGTACAGGTCTGTGACGAGAACTTACAGTGGATCGTCACGGAAGAGCTCGTTACGGCGCTTGCCAGTAAGTTTGGGGATGCAGAAGCGAGTGGAAATGGAGCGGCGAGTCGTCACGAAGGGCTGGAGGCGCTGCTACTTGAGTTCATCCGCAGACGCAGCGCTGAGCTCTCGAACTCTGGCTTTCAGCTGCTTTTACTGCTCCAAAAGCTGTCTACCGCGCAGTTATCGCCGCGTTTTGCAGCTTCTGTGGCTTCATTCCAGCACCACCTGGTGGACTTCGCTGGATCAGAGACGTCGTGTGCTTTTGTTAGGGGCATCTACCGTTTCCTTCCGTTTATTTGCCAGAACACACTTCGACTCCTGCGAGCGATGCATCCGGACGAAGACGACGACGACGTTAGCATGACAGGCGAGCCAGAGATGTCCAAGGAGACAGCAAGTCAACGCTTTGGCGAGTGGAAGCAGTGGCTCTGTGTGCTGGCCCAGTCGATCTCTCGAAAAGAAGTGACGGAGCAGCTGATCAAGGCCGAGCTGATGCTGGCAGAGTTCGACGAGGTGCCGCTTGTGTACCCGCTCTCAGCTATCCCAGACGCCGATCGCTCACTGTGCGAACTGCTGACGTCATTGCTGACTCCAGCGTCGCCCGAGTACGTGGCTTTTATGCGCAGTATCGTGCAGGAGAGCCAGTCCGCTGCCCCTCGAGCTCGACGACGCATTCTCGGTGTCATCCAGACGCTGTTGAGCTTGAACGACACGGAAGACGTGACCGAGAACGAGCTACCAGTCAACTTGACAGGAGAAGAAGAAGGCGGGTCGTGTATGCAGCAGCTCGCTGCCGCTCCTAGTTGGAGCGCGCGTCTGGACTCGTTTGAGCTGTGGAAAGGGGTGCGAGGCGTGGAGTTCTGGGAGAGTTTTCTGGACCTGGCACGCTCCAAGGACTCGCTGGTTGCTACTCGCGCGCTGTTTCTTGTCTCTCGGACGCCGTTCTTGTCTCTCGAGGACCCACACTGGCAATACCGCTGTATCTACAAGCTCTCGAGTGTGTATTTCTCGCTGTTGCGGCAATTTCGAACAGATCTCGTACGACAGGGGGATAAAGACTCCAGTGAGCTGACGATACCTGAGGATTGCGCTCTACAGAGTCGTCTACACACCCTCAAGATGGTCCTCTTCCGAATACTAGCGCTGGATGGTGGCGTGGCGCACTATGCCTCCTCCGTCTACAGCATCTTTGCGTCCTTGTGGCTGGACGCTCTGCTCAGCACCACATCAGCCACCAGCATCCCTACACATTTCCCGAACGGCGTCAACTTTGGCGACGCAAGGGACGGAGATGTGCTGGATGAGCGTCAGATTATCCGCTCGGAGCGGACTATTAGCTCCAAGTGCACCAATCTGCAGTCCTCCCAAGTAATTACGAAGGTTCCGGAAGCGAAACTGGTATACCGGAAAACACTGGACTCCTCTTGGGAGCGGGAAATGCACGCTGCTCGCCTGTGTAGCGTGTACGCGACTGAGATTTTCTCTCAGCTTGTAGAATCTACTGGAACGGCTGCTAGTCTGTTGGGTGACGCTGCCAAGACGACGTCGAATACCGAGGAGGACGAGCAGCTGGAACGGCGGTTGAAGGTTTTAGTGGATATGCTATTGGAGCGTGTGCTCCCGTGCTGTGGCATCCCAAGTGACGACGTCTACAAGGACATGCTGCCCAACCGATCGAGTTTCGACGTGGATCTACGTGTGGAACAGTGGTTAAACCACTTTCCGGCGTTTTTACCGCTACTTCGAACGGTAATATCGACTTCGACGGTACTAGGCTCGTCCCAGGTACTGCGACTTGTACCGGTATTCAAGTCGGTATTGGTTGTCTTGCTGGGGCACTGGAACAGCGTCAAAGGCGAGCTGAGTGTGGAGAACGTGAACGTGCCTCCGTACATGCGCAACAGGAATCAACTGGCGCTCACGTGCGAGTTGATGCGGCTCCTACGAGCGACCAATTGGCTGCCTGCGCCTCTGGCCAAGACAGCTGAGCTACTGCCACTGACTACACCCGCAGATATCCGCTCAATTCTCTTTAGTTGCTGGTTCTATCTGTCAGACCATCCGCCACGCTCTGGATCGCGTGCGCCCACACCCGCAACATCCGCGACGGCGTCTCCGATTTCGTCAGGATCTTCTCCTGCTGGCTTCGGTATTACCGGTTTGTCCACCGGTGGCTCCTCGTCCAGCTCCAGCAACCCGCCGCTTGAGTTCTACTTGATTCCCCTGCGCAAGGCTCTGCACCGCAACATCCGCAAAATTGGAGCGAAGTATCCGCTCTTCATGTGCTGAGGAGAATGACTTTTACCACTTCAACTACATGTACACTTTAGCGCCATGATGTCGTGCCACTAAGCTCTCTAACTGTAGAATGTGGCGTTAGTTTGTGTAACATTGCAGTATCACTTTAGTTTTAGCCAATCACTGATTGCCTTCACGTCTGTTGGTTTCGAGGAGCTACTTTGCGCGACGACGACATGGGCGACGTGGAGCTGCTGCTCGTGCGCATCGACCACTTCCGGGACCGCACTAAGTACGTGTCAGTGCTGCGTGAGTGGCTGCAAGAGCTGCAGATCGCCAATGGACGCGTGATCTCCATGGGCTCCGACCTGCAGCTGCTGTTCATCGCTTCGACCGAATCCCAGAACTCCAAGCTGCTGGACTTTTATCGCTCCAGAGACATCGACACCAACAGCCGCGGAGAGCTCTGCGTGGACAAGTTTATCGATGTCTTAGGACGCAAACAGGTGGAAAGCTGCGGCTGCAAGGGCTTCCTGGAGATGAACGTGCTGGTAAGACGGCAGACAAGAGCTACCTACACTTAGAGAGCATGGACTAATTTGATATCTATAGAGCTCAGCGCTATTGCAAAAGGTTTTAGTGCACGAATGGCATGCGGATCAAGAGTGGCTGGACGCATCGTTAGCCACGAAACGGACTCAGACTTTCCTGGAGTGGAAAGACGCAGCCAAAGCTGCGAGGAAAGAGAGGCGGAAGAAAGAGGGGCAGGAGAAGCAGCAAGAACGAGAAGTGAAGAGGATGGAGAAGAGAGAGAAGGAAGAAGCACAAAAGGCTCTTGAGGAGGCTACTGAGAAGTCACTTGAGGAGGCTGCTGAGAAGGAGGAGAGTGAGCAGCAGGCTGGAGAGGCCACGGAGCCGGCGAAGCAGCAGGGAAAGAAACGAAAACTTGAGCAGCAGCAACAACCGGGGCCGAAGAAGAGTAGAAACAAGAAGCAGCTCAGCAAACCGATTATAGAATCCTAGAATACATGCACTTGCCCAGATTAAATTGATCACTTGGGCCTTTTGGGGAATACGAAGCGCGCCCAACAAGCACATGCAAACTCAGATCCCCACGTGGCCATCGCCAAGTTACGCATTGTGTACAGTACTAAAGTACTACTTAGTTCCATAATTTAAAGGTATCGTGATGTTTAAAATACACTTGACAAAATTTTTAAATCGAGCGCTATGTACGTACTTCACTCCAGAGTACATGTACATGTATTAGATTGCGGTCACAGGACTGCGAAGGATGAAATGCTCGGATAGGCGATTTTTGAAAGGTAAACTTGCCTTATCGATTACCACTGAAGATGTCATAACATATTGTGTGATGGAAGAAACAAATGCTAGAGTCTCAAGACGCTGACAAACTAGTGATACAAAATTTCAAGACGCTGACAAATTGTGGAGTGGTACAGAATTTATACCTGTGACATCACTATCGCTCAAGGTTGCGCATGTCATTGTGATTCCGTTTTTGATCATTTGCGACTGAGAATTTTTCTCAGACTCTTATTGTAAGTCTTAATAATGCTTTCTGGACATGGAGAACATATTCGTAGAGCATTCTGGCACATGTATTAATACCGGTACAATAGGTACTGTAGTGACTTACGTGAATAAACAATCCCCATACTACGCACCCAAAAGCTTACACTACAGTACAATCAAATCGCTGAAGATCCCACGACGCAACCTGATGGCTGGTATGATTATTAGTAAGACACAGGGTACTCTATCCCATGGGATAGTGTTTGAAGGACGAACGTAAGCTAGTCCCACCGATGACCACACGAGCTGTAATCTGTGTGTCTGACTTAGTCTAGGTGGTCCAGACTGTCATTACGTTATTTTCTAAACACATCAAGCACCTGCAACGAATCACATTCCAGCAGCATGCGAAGCAACTTTCTGTGTCCACTTAATCTCGACGCTTTAAGTGACGACGTTATTGGCACTCACTGATGGGTTCAACACCACAAGAGTGAGTTTCAGACAACCGGCCAGAGGTGAAGAACCGGCAACCACGGCACCCCTTCGATCAAATTTCACTTCCAAGTTGTCGCATCTGCCTCTTCGAGGATTTACAAGCAACGGTACCGCAAGAAACAGAAAATATTTCATGACGGTCTGGAGGGTTCCAACACGCAGCTACAGCAAGAAATTCGGCTGCTTACTAGTCGACTTCGAGACCTCTCGTTCGCCATCGCAAGAAAGTCAGCGCTGTGGTCAGTTGCTACTGATTTCTTTCGCTTATTTCAGCATGGACTGCACGCTCGAAACGGGAAACCAACCGCCCAGCTTGATTTCCTGCGATCGTTGAGCGCTCCGGATGATGTTGCAGCTGCGGCGGCTACCGCGAGAAATTGGGCCATCTTCACGCTGTTTTTTCAGGACGTCAATATGCAACTTCAGCGTCTAGAGAAGATTGGAGACAGCTCGGTTATCGGGACCACCACCACAAGCTTCCCTCTCACAAGACGCTCGCTAATGAACGCGTTCCCAAACCTGTTCTATGACAGTACAGTCCGCAGTATGGAAAGCCGGAGCTATCGTGTAGTTCAAAAGCTGCTCGACCAGCATCTCGTTATGCATGGGTCTGTTCGTTTTGATTGGGACTACTGTACCAGTCGTATCGGAAGGATCTACAGTGAGATCGACATGATGTCCTCGTTGCTGGAGCTTCTTGGCAACATAGAGGACGTATCCTTTGTATTCAAAGGAGCACGTCGTCGGCGAACTGCTGATCCCCTTGGATGGTGATCAGTTCCGTAGATGTGCGACGATGATCAAACAAATTTAATATATTTGTTGTTATTATACAGAAGCATATTATGCTGTTACTCCGCGGAATAAACCAACAACCGTATTCTGCTTTGCAACAAGTTTGGCAAAACAAGATTCGACCTGCTGTATTGATAGGCAAATGCTGTTCCAGTTTATCGTTTGTAGATCCTCGGTAAACTGGCCAGAATTGTACTTGAAAAAGGGCAATTAATGGTGTATTTCGTAAACGGATTTGTCGGCGGAAACCGCCGCTCATCGCAGTCAAGCAAATATAATTTTTACGGCGGGACGAGATATTCGGCACGTTACAATTTCATGAATGGTTTAGCGCATACTATAAAATTTGGTCGCCATTACGATCAAGACTGAATACTGCTGATTTATTTTCGCATTCTGTAAAACTCAGTCACCATCCGCTTTTATTGTGGGTTATTTCACCGAGCCTGCTAAATAGATTATTTTTTGCGATATGATGGTTTTTCCCGGCAAATGGGTACGTTTTCTATTTTTACCAATGATCAGCGCTTGTTGATTGAGTTGGAGACTAAATGAACAAATATCCAGAGTCCATCCGGCGATACCAATGGACGTGATAATTCAGCAATTTCGTATACCCTGTCATAACAGTTTTGTATTGTTTGAGTGCTCTGCTATTTTTAAAAAATCTTCCACAAAACGTTTCTGCATGTAGGCTGACACATTCACTAGCGGCTAAGGCAAATTACCTTGCTATAACATTGTAGTAGCAGATGATACTGTATTGTAACTTGCCAGAAACTATTCTGCAAGCCCAATCTTGTTTTTACAGTGCAGCGTCACGCCTACGTGGACTCGTACGTGCTACCCAGTCCAACCTTCGCACTGCATACCAAGGTGTCCCGTACCCGGGAACGGAGGGGTCATTCCAGGAGCTCTGCCTCCCATCGGGATGACCCGAGACCCTGGAATCACTCCTCGCCCCGCCGTCCCGTCAGGGTGGTTCCCGTTGAACTCAACCTCGCACGTACCCTTGACCGAGCCCGTTAGGGTGGTCCTATAAGGGGACCCCTGAACGCCGGAGTCTTGGCGTCGGGGGACCAAAAGCACCTCGCGACATCAAGTCCTTTCCCAGAGGCTCTCCGTTGTCCCACGAAGGCCGACAACAAACGAAGTGAATCCTTCCTTTTTTTATGTAGTATAGTGTACGTAAGGTCGAGAAGGTGTTAGGCCTCTCTTCCGGTTAGCTCTCAGTCTTATATTTCCCTCCTTCTACTCAAGAGGAAGCCAAGCCAATCAAGAAACTTTTATTTTTCAACTCTCTAGTGTTCCTATCTACCGTTCCTGCAGCCACTGAACAAGACCGTACTCCCTGAACAGCCGCGGACTACCCGACCCTTGAAGGAAGAGGAGGTATACGACATCTGGTGGAGAAGCAGGGTAGTCTGCTAGCTGGAGAAGGTCTTGCTCCAAGTGAAGTCTCGCGGAGAACGTCAGAAGGAAGGACAAGATGTCGGCTACTAGCAACAGAGAAGATGAGAGCGCCACTGTCCGGGAAGAAGAAGGCCCGACCGAGAGTCTGCCTTCGAGAATGCGACCCAGTCTGTCGACTACGCAAGGCCTCCAAAACGTGCAGAATATCATAGACCAAGCGGCTAACCGACTTGGGGGGAACAACTCTAGTACTGGTGTCGAGCCACCCGCGGACGCTTTGGGCTCCGGGGTCCCTGCGACCTTCACTTCGGAAGAGTTGGACTCGATGCTGACCCTGAACGGCGGAGGCGGCCGAGGTACGGTGCAAGGCTGGCTTAACTCCCTCAACTGGTTGAGATCCATGGCCCCTCCTGAAATTGCCGCCGATATGGAGAGAACTGGTGGAAACGGTCTTGTGGGGACTCCCCCCCTACGACTCGAGTAAGGACTGCAATCCCGTCGTACCAAGGTTTCACAATCCGAACCCCAAATACGTCATATGGACAGGACTTCAACCCGTTCTTCTCCCTACCAACTGTCCCTGAAAACGGTGGACGTGCTTCCCCGGCAAGTATTCCTCCGAGGACCTCTAACGCTCCTCCTTGGGGTCTCCAGCCCTCCGGTAACTTGCGAGGAGGCGGGGAGAACGCTCCAGCGGTAACCGTCCCCGTTCCTCAGAGGGTTCCTTTCCAGGTCTCGTCGCCTACCGTTCAAATTCCTACCCAAGGCCTGGGGTCTCGAACTTCGATTACCAGTGGAGTCGCGTACGGAGTCGACCCTACGAGAACAACCCGAGCTTCACAAGGAAACGGAGGAACTACGGCTTCTGCCGGAACCCACCAGGGTCCTGCGTATGAGGAATATGGAGGTAACTCCTACTACTCCTCGCCTACGTATGGTAATACGCCTTCGACTACTAGTGGCCAGTATGGTATGCCCACTAACATCCGAAACGCAATTCGCATGCTCCAACCCTTTTACTCGGAAGGAGCGTCGGTGGAGAAAGCTAGATCCTTCTGGGAGGCCTTCGAGAACGCCACGATAGGGCTGGACGAACCCTCGCGTCTCAGCGCTTTCAGGGAGTGCTTGAAAGGCAAGGTCGGCGAAGATTGGTGGATGTACTCGCGCATCAACAGCTTTGAGGCTCTGAGAACTCGGTTCCATAACTAGTTCATCAGTCAGACCCCTTTGCAACTGATTGAGAATCTGAAGAACACTAAAAGACCCCGGGGAATGTCCGCCGAAGTGTGGGGCGACATGATTTCAAGTCTCTGCGATGATGCTCAGTGCTACGACACTCAGATGCGTTACCAGTACTTCTTGTCTGGACTTCGGAACCGAGATTGGAGGAACGCCCTCACCACGACAATGATTGACTCCATCCCTGCGGCTGTGGCCATGCTGCTCCTTAAGAATATGCACCGTCCGGTTGAAGACGACTCCGAGTTCGACAATGTGCCGTCCCCTAAAGCTTCCCAAGAGAACGCTGTCCTCGAACGCATGATGAACATGATGCAGCAGACGCAGAATCTACTCGCTCAGCAGCAACAGCAACAACTTCAGCAGCAACAGCAGTTGATGGAGCGTCCTCTGACGACCGCCTATACTTCCCCAGCGATGAATGTAGCTGCTGCCTACTCTCCTCCTGATCCGAACCCCTCTCTGCACTATCAGCCTATCGGAACGCTTCCTATTACGCCTATCAGGGGCGTTCGTGTGGGTCCGGACTTGCGAACCCAAGA